AAAAAAAATATTTGTTATGCTCCAAATTGCGCTGTCAACAACTTTTTTCTCTCAACTGTACCACATACTGTATAAAATAATTATAGAAATAAAAGGTATCTTCACATTTTCTCTACAGCCTCCAATAAATGTACATAAGTACATACATATGTACATAAGAGACTTGCCCCCTTAAACAAATGCCTAATAGGTTTAGGAGAGGGCGTGCCGTTGAACATTTCACGCTCAGAGTATTATAATTTAAAATAAGACATTGTATAAATGTACGATATTCTTTGCAAATAAAATAGAATTCATGAAAAGTAGTAGCTTGTTGCACGTTTCAATAAAAGCGTGTGTATTATTTTAGTTTAAATTGTTTTTTAAAAATAATTTGTTTTTGTAACAGTTGAATATGTTCCTCACTTACTTATAAAAATGTTATAATTATAATTTTTTTTAGTTTAAGTTTATCTAATTAAGTTAAAAAAAAAATGTTTTTTAAGTACAGCAAAATAAACTAAAAATATATGAAAAACACAAAAAAAAATTAAAAATGGGAAAGCAATATTAATTATAGTTAATTGATGCACTGAAATTTAAAAAAAAAAAATACGGAAGCGCACTTTTGATTTCTATTTGCTGTTGAAATTTTGGGTGTGCAAGAAAAATTTTTACAAAAATTAAATAAGCAGGCAAATTTTAGTGTTTTGAAATTTGTTTTCATAAAACCATAAATGAAAATATAAAGCAGCATCAAACACTCTGTAAAAAAATATATTACAAAAGTAAAGTAAAAAAGTGCTGAAAATAAATTTTAAGAAATTCAATAGAAAAAAATAAAAAAAATTTCGGCTATAGTTTAAATGTGTGTACATATATGAAAATAACCGCCCCTATAAACAATTGAATACACATACATGCATATAAACATTGAATTGCAAGTGTGTATGTATGTATATATTTATATATTCCTATAAAAAAATTATGTATACATGCAAATATAAAGTAATTAATTCATTCATTAGTTTAAAAATGTGCATAAAAGTCCCTCGTATTGTTTGCATAAAATATGTAAGACAAAGCAAGTAACAAATGAAAAACCAACAGTGAACTAAATAAAAAAAAAAATCTGTATCTAAATAATTAATACATACATACTAATTTAATTGCATATAAAAACACGTATATAAAACAATTCACATTAATGTACATAGTTACAATTAAATTTATACATACATGAATATAAATATATATATATATATATATATATATATATATATAAATGCATATTGATTAGTAATAAAGACACTTCTACATGAAGCATTAATTAATTAAAAACAAAAAATTAAAAAAATAATAATTTGTATACATACAAATGAATGTAGACGGAAAATAGTGAAAACAAAGGTAAGTGATTTATCGGTAGAAGCTTGTAGCGGTAAGATTAGCCGACCCTGATTTAAAAAGCAACAATGAACTAGTAAGACACCCTATTCATCCACAATCCACAAATATTTTTACGCTTTGTGGAAGTCAACTGTTCAAAAACAACTTTAAATCGCCTAACTTACAGTACTTACACATTTTCTAGATAAATCCACATACGGTCCACACAAATTTTTCGTGTTTTGAAAGCGCATTTGTGCAATTTTTGTTTTTGTGTATTTAAAATACAAAACTATGCAAATTCAAAGCAGGATCCACATGGTTTCCACAATAGATACTAAAACTATACATAGTAGTTGATCAATGACAACAGAATGTTATAGCAGGTTAGGTTAGGTTAGAGTGGCGCAATAAAAGTACGGAGTCACGCTTAAGTAAGCAGAAAAACGACCCGCTGTGATCAATCGGTAGACTGATTTAAAATTAACTAAGACTAGTTAGATTAGAGGAGAAGCTCGGCCAAACACTAACATATGTGTAAGCGCCAATCTATTATTATTATTATTATTAAGACTAGTTAGATACCGTCTTCTTCCACAGTTAAAAGATATTTTTTCACTTTGTAGACGTACGCTATACAAAAAAAAACTTAAAAACCCCTAATTAGGGAATTTAAAAATTCTTATCATTTATTCCACATACCATCCACACGAAATTTTCGTGTTTTGTAAGTGTATTCACGCTATTTTTGTTTTCGCGTGTTTAAAATACAAAACTATTCAAGTTCCACATGCGTTCCACAATAAATTCTATAACTAAAGCAGTTTACCAATGATAATAGCATATTTTAGTTACGTTAGATTAGGACAAAGAGGCTATTAACCAGAAAGAGCTCTTAATTTCCTTACTTTCCTTAGAAATTTAACCATCGAGGCGGTTTTATAGAGCGCAGAAAATCTAGGATATTAGCTGGATTTAAGTCTAAGACTAAGCAAGCTATAAATTACTTGTTAAGGAATTGGTTTCGCGCCTCCTAGTCAAGGCGGCAAAAATCCTTAGTTGGATATTCTATTTAACCTCTTACCATGTTTGCACATAAAGCCGTGTCCTTTTATTACAACAGCTATCTTAGACCAATTTTCATCGAGGCCAGCTGTGCCTCGTAGTCTGAGAAGTGGGCTCCGCAGCCCATATGGCTTTTACCTCGGCGATGAAGCAAATTTTTAATTAGTGTTTACATGAAAATGCGTACTTCCTAGGCAGAATTCACCACAGATATTTCTGTCCCTTTCCTAGTCGCTCGTCGGTCATCCAGTTACCACATACGTTCCTCTAAATAGGGACCCATTCAGCGGTTAAGGAACGTTTCGGTACCAGTTGGTTGTGAGTTCCTCTGTACTCAGTGGCTATTGATGAATTTTAGAAAGTCAATAGCATTCTGACCTTCGGAGTACATGGTAGTAGGTCGCTCTGAGGGAGCTCAGGTTATGAGTCACAGGTCGGTCTCCTTTATTACGTTACGTTCTACCTGATAAACGCTACAGGTATCAGGTAAACGAAAACTGAGGTTTAATGGGGGAGCACTCGTGTGAGCCCCGGGACTTACCTTGTCGTTTAGCTTAAAATCATCAGTATAGTTAACCGTGGTACCATACCATTCGTTCCTCTCTGGGATTTTTCTGAAGAATTTGATGTCTGGACATACAATAGGATAGTCTAATTTCACAGAACGATAATTGATTCCAGTCGAGTTTCCTGAATGGCCAAATATAGCTACTTAGCCCGGATTGGGAGAGTATGTTCCATTTCCTCTGAAATATGTTTGAAGTGAGGGGATCTTATATTTTCTCGTAATTGCTTAGTGCCGTCTGTGCCTTGGTGAAGACTTTTGTACAAAGAAATATCTATAAAGGGATAACTATATAGGATACGTACATAAATAGTCAGTCAAAGCGTATTTTAGTAAGTACAAATATGTACTTTTTATTTAAATCGAAAAAAGTCCGACAAGTAAGAGAATGTCCAACTATATGCTATTTATGTACGTCGCACATTTTCTTTCACTCCTAGGAACTGGTGAAGACCATTTTCCTAACATACATATATAAATTTAAACAAGTTCCACATGTGATCCACAAACGTTTTCATCTTTAAAACTTAATTCAATCGATTTCCATATATTAGCCACTTCTAAAGGCAATGCTGAACAAGTTCCATATGCGACCCAAATACACTACACAACATATTATCAAGGCATTTTCAAATACCCTTCATTTTCATATCCCAATGTACGTTACAAACAGCATCAGACTACGTTGCACCGATTTCTCCAACCACTTATAAAGTCTGCCTTATAAAGAAACAGAAACAAACAACAACACATTTGTTACTGAATAAGATGTCAGTGTAAGAATATCTATATGTGAACTCTGTATCATTTCAATATGCAACATATCTAAGTAATAGGTCATTTCACCTCACACCCTGCCCTTATTCACTTCATTGCACATCCCTTCGCAATTACCACTACATATTATAGTAAATATGTACACTACAAAACCCATTCCATTTTTATATTTCATTTGTTTTGATAACTTTATCAACTAAAGTGCATTCGCATATCCTCTAAGCGCTCGCTTTTCCCTCATTTCTCACACTCCTTTCTCCCCCCGCCGCCAGGGCTCATGCAATAAATTGTAGTAATTTTTGAAATTGACAGCCGCAGACAATTGAGCCACTATTGACTTACTATTGAACAGGCTATCAGATCGATGAGGTCCCAATGCTCTCGCGCGATTACGATTACGCTTGCGATTACCATTGCCACCCCCAATGAATTAATGAAAGTTAGCCACATTTATAGAGTTAGCACATGTGCTACATGACACACCAGCAGCGGCAACAGCAGCAGCAGCAGCAGTGCAGCACATTAATAGTTGCACATAGCCGCTGTAATGGCCAGTTGTTCAGGGGTCAGCCGATGATGACCCCTGTAGTGACCGCCGAAGCGCTTGTCCTGTATTGCAATTTGTCACAGCCCAAAAGTGAAGTGTCAATTGCACTGATGGCGCGTGTGTGTGTGTGTGTGCGGAGGAGTGCAGGCTGTTACTTCTGTTAGTTTATTGTTGTTATTCGATTTTTATAGCTGCTACATGCAACTGATGCTAATCAAACATTTATTGCTGGCTTCAGGAGCGAAGAGTTATTGGGCAAGGTGTGAGGAGGAGGCTGAAGAGAAAATTTTGCATGAATTAGGGGCGGTTTGAATGTGAGAACATTTTTAGGATAAAATACCATTATCTAGGTCTAAAAAGCATGATAATAAATTGTGGAACGTATGTGGATCGTATGTGTAACATGAAATATACCAGAAAAAATCGGGAAGAAATTAATCACTAAGAAGATTAACAAAATGTTGTGGAACGCATGTGGAACTTGACCCGTTTTGTGGAGAAAATCTTGTCCTACGCGTTTTCCTTCCATACAAGCTTAAAGCAAGTAAAATATTCGTAGATATTTTGTAGAAATCAATGCTAAAGTCTATGTCATTTGAAAGAAAGAAGCTTTTTCTGAGAGCTTTTGACTTGATAGGCACATGCAATGACCGTCATTTTTA